CAGCCGAAGGAAATACCTGCTCTGAAAAATCCTGCAGCCACAAAGGAGTAGTCTGGATAGTCTTGCTCTGGTCCAGATAATTATGGAAAGTAGGATTGGGCATTAAATATAATGAATATTTCCCTCTGCGTGCTCTCTCTCGCGATTGAGGAGTTCCTTGAACCGGGAGGAGAGGGGAGCCAGGAAACAGCTTTGTGCAGGGAGCAGAAGCAGTGAGATAAATGTGAGCTGGAACAAACACTGCTGGGCAAAAAACAGACTCCTGGGAAGATGAAGAACCAACTGGGGATTTTAGTTAAGGCTTGGAAATTGTTTCCTTTTTCTTTTGATAAAGCAGTTGATTAGCCCGCATTTCCGCGTTGTGGTGCTTTGTCTCCAAGAATTATCCCTTTGGCCTCTCTGATCGAATTAGTCCCTCTGCTCCACGTTTGATATTTGCTAATTGTGTTAACTTTTGGTTGCTTGACTTGGAGGGTCATGTCCTCCCCCTCCTCTGTCTGTTCTCTTCTTCCTCGCTGCTACAAGTATTTCCCATAAATCTCCTAAAACAAACCACACGAAGCTTGTAGGCTTAAAAACAAAATTGGCAACCACTTTTAACTTCTTTTACTCTTCTTCTCCCTCCTCAGCCCCTCCCAGGCTTTTAAGCAGAATTCCCTGTACCCTGTTTTTACCAAAGGGACACACAGAGGCAGGAGGGACTGGGCCTCACTGTGCAAATGCTTGGCAGGACCACACCTGCAAAGTTTCCAAAATTATCCATTAATACACATTAATGTATATTAATGTAAATACATTAGCATATACCTATCAGTACATTGATATAATAGTGTATAATACATGATATTAATAATAATAATAACATATCATATAATAATGTATAATACATTATATTAATAGTAATAATGTATAATATAATAATGTATAATACATTAATAGAGGAGCTGTAAATACCTCGAGGAGCACAGAACATCACAGCTTGCTACTCAGGCTTGGTAATGAGCCACCCAGGGTTTTAACAGAACCCAGGTAAGCTGGACCTGGATCTCTCACAGAAATGGCAGAAAAGACAATTTATGAAAGGAGTTACAAACACTTCACTGACCTGTGACACTTCCATCACTAAAGCACTGATGTGCTGTGGAGGAATAAATAGAAGTTGTGAATGAAAGTAAGTGACACATCCTACAGTTACAGGCTTGAGGTTTTAATTTGTGACAAAATAATCTGCAAATTCAAGACCCATTTTAGGCAGGCAGCGGTGCTGAGGTGAAGCTCTGCAGAACACAGCACCTGTGGCTAATAAAGTCAGCAGCTGGGCAGGCAGCCTTGCTTCTCAGAGCTGCAAAGGCTGGCTCATCCTGTACCAATTCCACTTGTCTAAAAGGGCAAGAGAAGAAAACAAGCCATTGAAAAAGACATGTAAAACCTGGTGACAAAGGATAGAAGATACTTGGAATAGATATTTTCTTAATTCTTTTAGACAATAGTTTTTGAAAAATTGTACTTTGGACATTTATGGTATTTAATTTCTCTGTTAAAGGTGAATTTGTCTGGCAATGCTGAGTCTTCAGTGCCATGTGGGGGAATTCCTCCTATACTTTGTTTAAATGCATTGCCAGATCAGAAGATCTGAAAATGCAGCATTTGAATAATTGATTTATTTGCCTTGCTTTTGTTTTCTGCTTAAATCTTGTGAAACTTAATTACCATTGCTTTCTATAAACCAATTAACTGCTCTCACCTTTCTTATTTAGCACCAATAGTGTTTTGTTTTGTGAGCCAAAACAACTGATACCAGTGTTACTGTGGCTGGCCCTGAGATTTACTCTATTTATTATATGGGCACTCCATAAACTATAGACTACCTGATGACTCTTCTGAATGGGGATCCTACTTGCAGATCTGTGAGAAAATACATTTCCCCCAGGTGAAGATCACGCAGCAGCAGTACATAACATTTTCAGGAGCCTCAGTGTTGTAGCTCCAGGCTGTCCCTAGATAATTTTAAGCAAGCTCTAGCACCTGCAAGACTCCAGGTGCCAGAATTGGTCTCCACCGATGATGGTTGTTGGTGGCTTTTGTTCTTGAACCTCCTCAGCAGTGGCTCTGAAACTGCCTTCACAAAATTTTGCTTAGGGACAAAATACAAATTATGGATGGGGTAAAAACCCACAGTTCACAAAGCAGAATGATTGTTCTCCACACCCAGGAGGGGCAGGCTGAGGGTGCAGGAACTTGTTTTCCAAAAGTGGAGTGTTTCCATCTCCATCCCTCCAACTGCACCAGCCCTGATCCTGCTGTTATTGTACCAAACAGAGTAAGAGGGGAAATCTGTGTGGCAGAGCAAACAGACAGAGCAAAAGATGGGAAAGGAGGGGTGGAAGGAGGAAAGTACCTGGACAGCAGCTGGGGAACAATTTCTCTGTGTCTCCAGGATGCAGATTTTCTGATTCAGTTGTGTGACTTAAATGAAATTTAAGCTGTTTGAACTAATTCTGGTCGTATTATTTTTGCCACCACAGGGTGTCTCTGCATCTCTTCCAACTCCAAAGGCTGAGGTGGCCTCTAATGGCAGTCTGCAAGCTCCAGGGAATGTAGGGCTAAAGGAAATGTCCCCCAGGTTAGCTGTGGATTTTCCTCAGGATCATGAGCCTTCTTGGACTGCAATGGTGATGCCTTCATTAGGTGGTAAGGAATTGTTTTTTTAGCAGCTACAGTGCGATGATGTTGTTTAATTTGGTTTTGAGAACTCTGTGGTACCACTCTGCAGGAAGCCATGGCCATGTGGTGTAGCTTCAGCTCATTCTGCACTGTGCTCACAAGGTCTGAGGTGTTTTCCCTGTCGTGGAATGCTTCTGCTAAATTCTGATTTCTGATTTTCCTGATTGCCATTTCAAGACCTTCAATCCTGTGTGGGTATTTCCTGTTCCACTTCAATCAGGATAAATATGGGGTCAGCACAAACACTGCTGTTTGCTCTGGATAATTTGTATAATAAAATAAGTTTGTATAATAAAACATTTCAATATGTTTGGTTTGGAGTCTTCCAGGGGGCTTTTTTGAGTCTTGTGAGCTTTGGCCTAGCATCAGTACCAGATGTAGTACAGAACATCAGTTCCACCCTGCATGTAGTTGTAGCAATGACTGGAAGTGAGACCACAGGAAGGGCAGAAAGGTCTGGGGAGAGGTCTCTCTGTCCCAGAAGCTCCTAACCTCACAAGCCAGGCATGACTTGGTGCTTTCTCAACATTCAGATGTGGCTTGGGTTTGAGGATGAAGGTGAGAATGTCCCTGGTAGCAGGAGGTGCTGTAGGGCTATCCCATAAATATTCATATAACTATCACAGAAATAATCATATATATATATAATATATGATATAAATGTGTCTTTGCCTAGGGTATCTGAAAAGTACACTGTCCTCGGGAGGGAAGAGTTACTGAGGAGTTCCAGATGAGAAGTGCTAAGTACTCTGTGGGTGGATAAAGCTTGAAGGTAGTTGGGAATCTCCTGATTGTCATCAGGGCGTACCAAGTGATCAAAACTCCATCTTTACATAGAGAAAATACAGTTTGAAGTGTTTTCTACTTCCATCAGGAAAAGTTTCTCAGGGCCAGGCTCCTATGAGTGTGATATATGAGCGAAAAAAAGAAGGTTGGAAGTGCTGCCTGAAGTGACATTTCTTCATTCATGCAGATAATTGGCTCCAGCACAAGAGACAGAATCACTCTCCAGAGGCAGGAGGTGTGAGGAGTCTCAAATGCAGTGAGCAAGCTCTCAGGCAGCAGAGAGGGGAGAGGCTCCTGTGACTGTCACTCTGAGGATTCCATATTTCCCAAGGAGCTGGATCCCTTCAGAGCTGACAGCCCATGGCTTACACCTGAATCAGGCTGTGATAACATCTGAGCCCAGATTTGGGCAATAGCTCAGTGTCCTCATGTCTGAGCTGTGGGTGCTGTCACATCCCCTGGATCCTTTCTGCATGGAAATACTCAGCTGGTTGATGACAAGTTGAGAAATTGGGACTGGTGCCTTGCTCAGCCCCAGTGGTGCCTTTGCCTGTTGCTTTGAGGAGCAATTCACCTTTTCTTGGATTTCTACATCAGAAGACACAGATTTGATCTGGTGACACTGTTGCACTTTATTCCCAACAGGCACCCCAAGATTTGAGGTCCAGACACCTAGAAAAGCTGCTTGCCTTACCCAAATGCCCAGTTTGAATGGCCAGTGCTGGCTGCCACTGACACCCCCGGAAAATCTGTGAAGACAGCAACAGGTGAAGCATCTTTTTACAAGTGAAAGGGGTTAAATGCCACTTCTTGAAAAACCACCCAAACTTTCTTATTCCTTCACATCTGTTGAGAGCATGGGAAGGCCTTGGTTTGAACAGGGAGGAACATGTGCTGTTCCAGAGTAAGCTCTGCCCTGCACAGGAGGATGAGGCACAGGGAAGTGCTGATGTTCACGGAGGTGAGCTTGGATGCCTGGCTTGAGGTTGAGGTGACATCTAAGCCAGAAGCACTGGCTGTACTTCATCTGAGACACAACCCTTCCACGATCAGTGCTTCATCTGGCAGCCTGTCTGTCTCTGAATTTCCTCCGTGCTCTGAGCTTCCATTCACAAGTCCTCACCCACAACAGCAGCGATTGAACGGCAGCACCTTCCGTCATTCTCTTCCTTTCTAAATTCCTTTCTTTCCAGCGAGGAGGGGCAGAAGGCAGGTGTTTAGGGAAGCCTGCAGTGGTTTTCACCCGCGGCCCAGGCGGCAGTGAGCCGCTGTGCGGGCACAGGCAGCGCTCGGTGCGGGAGGAGCCGGCGCTGCCCCGGCCCTGGGGAGCGCTCCCGCTGCCGGGAGGGAGCGGAGCGGCTCCTGCGAGCCCGGCCGAGCCTCCCCGCCCGTGATGCGAGGCGCAGGCATGCTCAGTAGCCGCTGCCTACCCCTCCTCTCCCAACAACAGTGCCTACAACAGCAGGAGCCGGCTGGCAGCGGAGCCGAAAGCCATCTTTGCAGGAGAGGGAGGCAGCGCAGCCCCTCGCCATGTGAGTGCCGGCCGGAGCGCTGCGGGAACCCCGGGCTGCCTCCCCAGCCACGGGAGCCGCTGTCCGCCGGCCGGGGACACGGCTGGGACACGGCTGGGACACGGCTGGGACACGGCTCCCGGGGCTGGGACACGGCTCCCGGGGCTGGGACACGGCTGGGACACGGCTCCCGGGGCTGGGGGATGGCCGGGGGGTGGCCGGGACTGGGACACGGCTCCCAGAGGATGGACAAAGCTCCCAGAGGATGGACAAGGCTCCCAGGGGATGGGCACGGCCGGGGGGTGGCTGGGGCAGGGACACAGCCGAGGGATGGACAAGGCTCCCAGGGGATGGACGCGGCTCCCAGGGCAGGGACAGGGCTCCCAGGGGATGGACACGGCTCCCAGGGGATGGACGCGGCTCCCAGGGGATGGACACGGCTCCCAGGGGATGGACACGGCTCCCTGGGGATGGACGCGGCTCCCAGGGCGGGGGACTCCGGCAGCACCGCCCGCCTGAGCTGCTGCCGCTGCCGGGCACCCGAGCGCACGGATGGGCTCTCTCGGTGTTTATCCGGCAGCCCAGGGGGTTACTGACACGTTTCGAGTGGGATTCGTGCTGAGAAGGGAAGGCTGGGCCGAGATCCTCAACAGGTTCGAGTCAGGGCTGTTCAATAGCATGAGTCACTGAGCGCTGCTGCTCCACAGCAAACGGGTCCTGCTTGTTGTCAGTGCTTCGTGAAATGCTCTCTCAGACGCTGCCTGTCTGATCAGTCCAGCCTCACCTTCTCCAGTGCCAATGGCTTCCTGACAGCACTGCTTGATACCATCTGCTCCTTCTTGTTCCCATCTCTCTAAATACCTATTCCAAGTTTTCACGTGGAGCATTAACATTCTCTGCCAGGCGGTGATGAAACCCCCAAAGTCCATTCGGAAACCAGAAGTGTGCTGGGGTAAATAGGAATTGATCAGACACATTCATTCACAAAAGGATTCAGGCAGCTGAATGCATCATTTTACTGTTTCCCCAAGTCATTGCTCATTCCCAGTGACCCTTAAGGGAGAGCCTAAGAAGATGTCTCAAACAAACAAAGAGTCATTTGTGCTGGTACTGGGTGATCTTGTAAGAACTGGAGCTTGGTTGATTCAGAGAACACGAGGAATGCAGACTGTCTTGGAAATCTGTGATTAAATTACTTCAAAAATATTTCCAATAACCAACTGTTCTTCAGGAGGCATTCTCAAAATAGAGTCTAAAATCACATATTCTGAAATGTTAGCCTTTGTATTTAATGCCGTTTCCTGTATAGTATCTCAGACAAGAAGCTTTTGTTCGTGTTGTCCAGAATGTTTTCCAAAGCAAGGAGTGTCTTGGGAGTCAGAAAAACCACTTTCCAATAGAAGATTCCCCATGCAAACAGCAAAGTCTGCCAGTTAAAGCCAGTTCATTGTAGGCTCCTGTTGCCTAGCTGTGTTTCTACTGAGCCAGATGATGACATCAAACACTTTTATTTGTATGTGAGCTGTTCTTCAATGATTAATAGATGAGTTTGCTGATGCAGTTTTATACAATCTGAGCTGTTCTGACACTAAGCAATAATCAGATAATGTTTAACATAACCTGTGTGTGTTTCTGTCTCAGTGTATGTTGGTTTTCATGGCAGCATCCGTACATGAAGTAGAAAGGGCGATACTGATATAACTTGGTCATGCTTCTTCTGTAGGGGCTTTACATCAGACTTCTGACCAAAAAATAGAGGAAAACGGGAAAGCAGTTTTTATCTAATTTGGCCAAATGGACTTTCAGTTTGATAATAGAAAGAAAACCAAGACAAACAAGCAGCTTGTCATTGGCAGAGTCAGCTGGCTTCTGTTTCACTGCCAGATATTGCAATGAAACCTTTCCTTTGAACATGCCTCCAAATGTCATGTCCCAGAGACTGCTGAGTTACTGATGAGCAGCAGAGGTGAGTGGGGATTAGCCACTGCCTCACAGCAGCTTCTGGTGAGCCCCAAACCCTCTGCAGGTCCCTGCTCCTGCTGTTCTACCTGTGGCACTTTTGGGCTCCTCCTGTGCCTGTCCAGACCTGCAGTGACACAGTGCTGTGACTTCACTGCTGGGATAAAGATCTCCTGCCCTGGGCCAGCTGCCAGCCCCACCCTGCACAGTGCCCTGTCCTCTGCAGCAGCTGCAGGCTTTGCTCAGGAAGGGGTGCCTGGCTGTGCCAAGGATTCCCAGAATGCTGTCCCAGTTTCCAGCTTAGGAAAAGGGAAACGCCTGGGGTGTGTGAACCTGGGGAGTGTGTGAACCTGGGGAGAGCTCTTTGTGTTTCATGACTCCTGGTGGGTTTTGTTCTCTCAGTAAGGTGTCCAGCTGCTCAGTTTGGGGTGAGGAGCTCTGCAGCTGGACCATACAGCATGTGGAAGCAGCTTCCTGTTGGTTTGGAGCTGGCAGGGAGCAGGTTCTGCCTGATCTCACCCTTGTACTGGAAACCAAAGAGCAGTGCTCCTTATTTGCTGTGTTTTGTGTGATTCACAGTTGTGTGTGAGCCCAGCAGAGCTGTGTCATTCACATCAGGTGCCAATCTGTCCCCGTGGCCTCTCAGGGTGAGCACAACCCAGGTGAGATTCATTCAGGAAACAGACAACTTTCACCTTTAACCAGGCAGAGGAGAGGAAGCTGTAACATCAAAAGGTTGAGTGAAAGGAGAAGGACATGAAAGGAATTTAAAGCAAGAGCACAGAAAGGTTAGACCTGCCAGTACAGCTGGGAAAATTGTTCCAGGTGAGAGCAAGAGCACACAAACTCGTTTGGAGGAGATGTGAGAAGCAGTGAAGGACAAAGTGGCGCTCAAAGTTGAGGTGTTTCTGGGCTTTGTTCCTTGCTGGAAAAGAGGCCAACAGCAGCAGGTGAATTTGTGGATGTGTTTTGTTTCCAGTGGTCACAAGTCAGTGGGTAATTGTACAGGATAGCAGCTCAAGGCATGGTGTCATCTGCTGTTTCAGCCAGGTCACTGAGCAGACAGCAGGGTGCCTCTGATTGCATTAACCCAGGACAAATGGGCTCCCTTGCAGGGGACAACTTCTGTGAGACAAGCAGCAAAGTACCTGGCTCTCCCCAGGGCAAAACTGTATCTCATTCCTAGGGTAGCAGTTAGAGCTTCCTAAGAAAAATACCTTTCTGCCTGGTTTAGAGCAGCAAGGAGGGGATGGGTGGGATTAAAATGGTCCCAGCAGTAGCAGTGAGTCTGTTCTGGTTGAATGTCTATTCAGTTTCTCTAAATGAGAAGAATGTTGTGGCTGTTGTCTCCTGTTGTTTGTAGAGCAGTACTTAGCCCTGCTTTTGTGGGCATAATTTTATAAAACTTGTCAAAATCTCCCTGCCCTTCTCTTGCACTGATCAGCAGAGACAAACAATTCAGCATAATCCTCTTCACAGTCCTGATCCACGGCTTTCAGGGAGTTCAGGGTCTCACAAAAGTGTCTACAGCCAGTGCATGTCCCAGGAAAGTCCAAGGAGTATGAACTGGAGGGACACACGTTCTGAGAGGTGCAGTTGTTCCATGCTGTGCCTGGCTTCCCTTGGGAATGTGTTCCACAGGAGTTCTGTAAACCCCTGGAGTCCCCTGGGTTTGGGGGTTTACTGGTGGCCAGCTGCCTCAGCCCAGGACAAGCCAAGGGTAGCAGTGACATTTTTTGGTGTTCTCCCTCCCCCTGCAGCCTGGCAGAGGGACTGGTGGCTTGAGAGCAGTCCACACAACCCTGGCTGTGGAGGAGTGGGCTGCTCTTCTCGTTTAAGGGCTGCACTGGAGCCTGTAGTGAGAATAGCCAGGCTGCTCTCAGCAGCGGGGCTGTGCACATGAGAAGGGGATGTTGAGAAGTGGAAAGCACCCCATTTTCAGCACAGCTCTGTCCTGACTCGTGTGCTGGTTCTGAGGCTCACAGCTCTTAGTAAGAGCCTTGAAGTAAGGGTGTCAGGAGTAGGAGCTGCTTGATCTGCTGCCTGGAGACATCACCAGAGGGATCCATGTGTTTTGTTCACTGCTTCCCTCCACTTGCTGTCTTGTGGCATCATGCAGACACAGATCACCTTCATGTAGGAATAAATGCTTCCAGCTCACATGAAGGGTTATTCCTGACACATTCAAGTTGCCATTTGAAGTGAAGGTGGCCCAAGTAGGTTGTGAATCTTTTGGGGGATGAGTATTTGAAAGTGTAGAGATCAAACTGGGTGATATCTTGAGGGCCTCAGCCAAGAAAGAAACCAAGAATGATACGTGACAAGTACAGGCAAGGATTATGTGTCCTGATGAACATTCTTCCAAACAGGCTAACATGAAGTAGATGAAACCCAAATACACTTTGTGCTTTGGTGGTCCCTTTCCTTGTGACTTGGCTCTCCTTGGTTCTCCAGTGCATCAGCCATAACTTGTTCCCCTTGACTTGCAGGCATTTTTCACAGGAGGTTCCAGCTGTGGAGTGACTCACAGGCCACTGAGAGTGGCTGCAGCAGAAGATGAATTGGTCTGGCAGAGGAACACCTCTCCTTTTTTAGGAGCTGTTTCCATAATTAATGTTTTCCTGAAGAATCAGTGATCAGGCTGTAGAGCACCAGGCAAAGCCATGTTTGTGAGCACGTGTGTGCAGAATGTTCCTGGGTGGGGAGGAGAGAAATGGATTCAATGTTCTCCCTCCCCTTGACTGCTCCTGGGCTTTCTACCAAGCAGCCACATCCAAGGGAAAAGGGGTGGAAGGCAGGAAAAAAGAGACAGCCACCAGTCCAACAAACTCTCAGCTCTGTGCACTCGAGTCATTAATGACCAGCCAAAGAAATCAGAAACACTGAAAACCAAGATGCTCCTCTGCCAGTGTCTGTGGGATGCAGAACCCATGGAAGCTGCTCCCTGACAGCCTTAACCAAACCTTTGCAGTTCCAGCAGGAGCAGCACAGTCACGAATCAGCTCAGATTGACCAAACTGTTTGTTTTGAGCAATTACAACTCAGAGATAGAATTTTCTCTC